GTCCCGGCTTCCGGGACCCCCAAAGTCCCCACCCGTGGGGGGCCGCGGCCGCACACGCCGGGCGGCGAGGAAAGTTGTTCGGGGGAGGCTGGAGGTTATTCAACGTAAACAAGTCGGAGGGCACGTCAGGAAATTAGCAAACAATGACACTTGGGGAGCGGACAGCCTTCTTTGGTATTCCACTCCTGTGGCTAGGTTGGGGGGTGGGGGAGCACTGGCTCTCCATCAGGCCGTGCGGACGCGGAGCCCGACCAATGGCTGTGGGGTCAGGTTCTTCCCCCCCTCCGAAGAGAAGGGGGAAAGGTGGTGCCGGTTCTTTTAAGAACGAGAAAGGAGCTCTTAGGTGGACAAGCCCAAATAAGAATTGTTGGCATGCAACATCTTTCTAGAGACGTGATCGGGGTTGGAAAGGTGTTTTAGAACACATCGCTTATCAGTCAGATAAGTATCATTAAAAAAAAAAATCCAGTCAGCTCTTCAGGATTTAACAGGTGTGCACCGTAGTCTTTGGGATTGGGTTTATTTTATCAGGGGAGGAGAAAGTTGGATAGTCTTCTCTGTTCAATTACTTGTTAGAGCCCTTATTTTCCTGACTTGACTTTGAAAAAAAGATGGGAATGTAAAGGCAGATAGAAAAATGTCTATCAGAATGCACTGGTCGCCTTAAATTAGAGAGAGGTGACTTTTTTTTCCCCCCTGTAAAAATCCCAAGTTCTGATAAGGAGTTTAGAACCACCCAATCTAAATATCTTCTTTGAAGCAATTTGAGGTCAACAGCAAACCACAGAACCTGTCCACTTTTCCTGATGGTTTTATCTAGCATTGCCATCAGAGTTGAGAGCAAGCCTAGTGTTTTAACAACCTGAAGAAGTCACATGAAGCTGATGAAAATGAGAAGGCAATACCAAGTAATAGAGCTGCTAAGCTAAGCTACACTGATGTAGATTTGGTAAAGATTGCTTTCAGTTGGTTTGAAAATGGTTTGCTAATAGACATTTTTAATATTGGCTATTCCTGTCTGTTTCCTCTGATTTAGTTTGGTTACTGTTTAATGAAAGAGGCCTGAAATAGTTTTATGTATTCAAAATATTTGGCTCTTCCCTCCTTCTATGTAAATTTTTCCCAGCAGTGTTGATTGCGCTGTCATCTGTACTTTAGAAGTCACTCCATATGTGACTGGTCTGTTAGTGTATCTGATTTATTCAGGATTGTGGATTGCCTTCTTACTTATGACCTCAGGAAGTTTGCTGCTCTATCTTGATAGTGAGAGTTGTGTTGTAGACCTTGTCCTGTGAGCCCAAGACCAAAAAAAAAAAAAAGAAATGAAAAAGCTGTTGGGAAGAAAACCTGCACAATCCTACATTTAGAAACACAACATTGACAAAGCATGGTAGCCTATATTAGGAGCGTATAAGAACATATTTTAAAGTTTATCTAACAGCAATTTTTTCTTTCTCCTGAAAAAAAAAGTATGGGTCTGATTCACGTCCCCCCCACCCCCCTCTGCTTAGCCGGTGCATTTTAGAAAATAAACAGTCACAACATATTAAAGTACAGCAGCTAGTGCAAAAGATGTACTTGTGTGAAAGGTGAGAACTTGCTTCCTTATCCAAATTATGTCATATTTGAAATGACAGATTAGTATTTTTCATATGTGCTTCCCTGTAAGCTACTTAAAGATTGGGATCTTTCTGGGTAAACTGACATAACAGAGTTCCAGGTAATTCTAAAGTTTACTATCTATATACTTATGAAAATGGGTTGTGGAGATAAATTTGGAATCCTCCCCTGGCCTGTGATTTTCTTTTTCTCATCAATATATTTGTCATTTGAAAGATAAGAAACCTACTAATTGGAACCAGTTGCCAAATTTACTGTGAAACTGTGATAAAGCAAAGCTGTTTTCTGAAGTCAAAGTAATATTTCAAGTTTGTATACTTCCTCAGAGTAAACAAAGTTATATGTATTGACTACCAACCCTGTGATTGATCAGTTCTTATTGAAATATCAATTACATATACTATACATAAGGAAATTTTAGGTCTTATTGCTTATTCATATCTTGCAGGTCTTTAGAATTCTAATTTTCGGTTGTTTTCTCATCCAGATTATCACCATGAGGTATATAAGAGCTCAGAATTCAGCAACGATGTTAATGGGGAGGCCAAAGAGACACAACCCATTTTTTTAGGTAGGTTCCTATGTCAATTAATTTCTCAGCAAAACATTGTGACCATTTGCAATTAGGGGGAAAAAAATAAGATTGTGCCAGAACGGGAAATGTCTGCCATTGCTTAATGTATGACATTCTTTTCAAGACCTTTTATTTTACAGATTGCCAATATATCCCTTATTAACATTGCTAAAAGTTGTAATTTCAGACATAAATGTTTATTAGTGTCTACACACAGTGCTAATTATCACTCACTCCCAGAGCCAGATGCTGACTGTGCAGTTTTGTCGCTCTGCGCTCACCCCATTTACATTGCATATTCGCTGGCATGCTTCACTGGCAATAGTTTGTGTAATTGGGGTATTACATCTTTGACATCTGGATAACAGAAATTCAATTTCCAGGAAGCTGCTATTTGTTTGGTTTGCTTCTGCCTTGGGTGGGATAGAGGATTAATGTGCTGTCTTATTATAATGTCCCTTCACCTCTGTGGCCTGGTTGCTAATCCTGCCATGACAAAATTAAATTAAATCTAGTCAAAAACCGTACAGAAAATAAAAGTGTGATTGTCTGCCTAACCACCTCTTGATAGTACTAGTTATCACTGAGCAACTCCTCATTTTCCTGGCTTTGTGTTCATTTCATACCCAGAGTTTTGGTCAGAGAGAATAGCCATGCTTTGCTCTTACATCCTCATTCCCAACTTACCTTGGGGACAAGGAGAGCAAAAGCAGCTTCTTTAATGCCTTCCAAGAAGTATGATTGCATGCAGGAGAAGTAGGTGGCCCAAAATGTGGTCACTCTTGCCATGTATAGTTTTTGGTACATATAACCTTATGAAGGATCTTGCATTAATTGCATGTGCAATTAATTTTTTGCAGACCATGAGCCCAAAATGAACTGATTTAGAATTTTGTCACTAGGAGTAGTGGTATTTGGCTTCTGTCTCACCCATCCTCAGCACCTGTGCAACCCCTTGTAGTCGCGGGAGAGAGCTGAATGCTATATAAAGATGCAGAGAATGAGAAAGTTTGGGCGGGAGTGATTTAAGAGAGCCAGAATTCCATACCCCTGGGGAGGTTTGGCAGTGCTTAAGGAAGCAAGGTTGCTGCTCAGATCACGGTTAGTAAATTAAAACAACATGAGAGCCAATGTGTAGAGTTCTGTCACTAGCAGCTCTTTCTGGCTTTGGGGAGAAAGAGTGGGATGCAAAGGACTCTGAGAACAGAGGTAAAAGAGGAGGGAAATTATAGCCTTTCTCACACAAGCAGTTGTTGAAGCCACATGGATCTTTCCATCAAGGAGAGGATATTACAGAAGCCAGTGCTACTCGCAGCACCTCTTAAGAGAACTAAAACCGAAGGGTTAATAGTCGAATGAAATGATATGACCCACGAGGAGGATATTCTTGGATTGTGCCCCTTTTAGTTTCTTACACTTAATTGAAATTCTGTATTTTCAGTTTCCTAAACTTGATAAGCTGGAATTCTGTATCTGTGTACCACTCAGTTTAGCTATTTGAAATGAAGAATTTGCCGTCTAGTAGAAAATTTACATTTATCATAAAAGCGGAACATGGTGTCCTTGATTTAGTTGTTCTCCAACAAAGCAGTTTTCTGCTGTGAACTTGGAAGATGGTAAGTAAGGACACCAAGACGGTAGGTTATGCTGGATACCAGAAGGGGGATGAAATAGGAAAACACACTTGACAGGGACAGATGGCGTTGCTTCCCTTTTCCCAGACTGAATTCAGGAGTAAGAGACTATCCATGAAAACCCAGGCTTGGGATAAGCTTGTGAAATGACTGGTCAAGGCTTAGCCATCAAGAGGCAAAAGATGGAACAGTGTGAAATGTGATCTTTTGCTCACTCTGGGGAAAGTATAATGTGGTTTCCAAATAAAATTTATTTTGTGATCTCTGGATCAATTTTAAAAAATTAATGGAGAACAAGTGATTACACAAACATAATTGCTAGAGCAGTTGGGAATAGTTACTGAAAACAGATGAAATTAAGAATTTTGTTGTTGACAATTCATAAAGTGGACATTTTTTAGTTTATAATACTCTTGTCAAAACATAGATTTAAATCATGTTTGTATTATAAGTTGCTCAAGTCTGTCCAAAATAGTACTTACTATGGTGTGGAATTCTGTGTGATTTATGGCATCCAAGGGAGTTGGTGAGCAAAATACCAAAACTGTTTCACCTTTAATGCATGTTATAGGATGTATTATAACACCTAGGACGTTGTACAGGATTGTCTGTGTTCAAATAGAAGTTGTTGCTTTGATTGTGCCTAAACCTACAAGATTAAAATTCATGTCTCAGGAAGGAAAAGGTGCTCTAGAATTTGGCTGAGGTTCCCACATCTGTTTCTCTGGAGTATTTTCAGACTTGTCTGGTGTGGCACATCCAACATGATAGGGTAGCTCAATAGTGTGAACGACTTGGCTGCAAGCTTGGGGAGTTACACACATTTTTAATTTAACAGGTTCAGAAGAGGTTCATTGCATTGACTCTCTCAAGCTGGCTGCAATGGGATCACAATAACAACTTGAACAGTATTAAATGAAAAACAATTTTTGTAGAATCAGTAGGTGTTTTTTGTTTGTTTCCTTCCTTTTTGAGAAAATGAACTTAGCACTTCCCTGGAATGGGAGTGGGGTGGGGGTTAATCAGAAAAATAGACAGGACTAGAACTCTACTCTCAGGGATTAAGGTCTAGCTGGGAAAACAGGACAAATTCACAAACTGGGAGGGTGAATATCTGTAGTCATAACAGCCACAGTTGTTTGAGCACTTGCTGTGTGCACACCACTGAGCTGAGTACTTCACACTTCCTCTCACAGCAGACCTGCGGGCACCATTGTCATCCTGTTTTATAGAGGAGTATAGAGATAGTGGTCTGCCAGAGGTCGGCAAGTAGCAAGTGCCATAGCTGGGATCCCAGTGCAGCCATCTGAGACAAAGTTAATTAAATGACAAATCGTTAGGTCAGGCGAGAAAGAGCAGAATTAGAAGGGAAAGATAAAATGTGGAGTAGAGGGGCGAGCTCTAGGAAGACCTTGCACTGTGGGAGAGATTCGGACAGACGGAATCTGCAGGGGGTTCTAGGTGGAGGGGTGCTGTGCCCCATGGCAGGGGGTGAGAGTCATCATGGCCTCACTTAAAGAGAGGGCTGCGCTTGATAATTTAGAAAGTGCTTTCACATCTGTCATCTCCTAGTGCTTTCATAGTATCCTTGTGAGGTAGTTGGGGTGGGTGTTGTTATCCCCGTTACCCAGATGAGTAACTGAAGGTCAGGGTTAAGGGACTCGCTCATAAATAGAAGAACCTGTCCAAAGATCTTTTCTCTCTATTGTGTTGAGGCAAATTCAAGTATCATCCAGGAGAGTCTAGCTATGGTGTGGCACTTTTAGAAAGTATCTTAATGAGATGACTAACTTATTATTCACCACCATAATACAGGCATTAATAAAATTTCATTAATTTTTTTTTCATTATCTACTATTATAGCATATAATTTTGAAATGTTCATTTTCAGTATCATGTACCTGTTCACTCAACAACTGTCTGTTGACCTCCAGTTATGTGCCAGGCCCCATTTGAGTTGTTCTTTTTAGAACATTCAGTTCAGTTACACAACTTCCAGGAGATGAGGAGCAAGATGTAGCAGCCATATCATTTGAACAGAGTGGAGATCTTTGAATTTTGTAATCTCTTTTCTCCAACTTTTTTTGATGGTAGCTGCCCTCACCAGGGTCCCTAGAATATACCCCCAAATTGAAAAATTCATACCTACTAAAAGAGTTAGCCCCCCATCACAGTATAATTCTCCCCCATGAAAAGTAGGTGTTCCATATATAAAATGGGGGGAGGGGATAGTTTTTTATCTGGAGTTAAATGGCTGTCCCTGTTCTTCTTAATAGTTTTTACCAAACCTGTGACTGGAGCTCCGCGAGGGAAAAGCAGTCTCAAATAAAATAAAGGACCAAGTTGTTGAGGTCAGCAATGTGACCAGTAAGAGTAGGAGCCATTTCTGGAGAGCTTGTTGTGTCCCAGACACTGCACTAAGAACCTTGTATGTTATCCTGTTTCTGTCCTAAGAAAGCTTTTATTATTACAACTTTACAGATGAGTAATCTGAGGAGTTTACAAATTAAAACTCAGTGACAACCGAATACAAACCATGGTTTACCATGCCCTCAAAACCATCTGCCAGAGTTCAGCAAGTAGCTTTGTTCAGTGCACCCCCATGTGGAACCCCAGTATGCGTAGCAGGTGGGAGGGGAGGGAGGCTTCTAGAAGTAGATGGAGGAGACAGACCCCGTGTGCCTTGTACCATGTTCCAAATCCTGTGTTTTCACACCTCTGGGGTCTCTGTTGAACTTCTAAAGTGCCCTCATCACGATATAAAGACCTCCGGTCTAGATGGTTTCTAGGTTTCATACAGCACTAAAAGCATAGCTGTAAGTCCAGAAATGATTTCAAAAATAATTACAAGCAAAGTCAACGTTGAGAAGGCCTCTTAAGGAAACTTGAGCACTGACGCTTCTTTGAATATAAGTGAACATTTAAGTCTGTTTCTGTAGCGTAGTCATTCATGCATACAGCTTTCTGCTTAGTTTCAGAGGCACCGTCTCACGCTTTCATTAATCATTTAGTTCATACCACCACTATGCCAGATGTAACTTAGGTGTTATGATTCCCGTATTGCACCTCATTTAACCCTACACCAATTCTGAGAACCTATTATTGCTTCCCTATTTAGACGTGGAGGGAGGGGGGAGTCTTTGGAAATGCCAGTTTGCCTAAGGTCGTGCAGCTTGTAGATAAGAGCCCAGATTTGGACTTGGCCACCCACATTCTGTCTGTTTTGCTGCGCCTCTGAGGAAGCCCGTCTCCCTCCTCGCTTTGCTGCCTGCTGTGTTTCTAGCTTACCTTTCCCCCTCATCTCTCTCCTCTTGTCTCCTCTTGTCTCCTCTTGTCCTACAAACATTTGCTTGTGTCACTCTG